TCGTAGGCCAATATTATGCACTTGACGCTAAAATTACAGGCCATCATGGAGCTCTCTTCTATGCCTGCCGAGCGGTGCAATCAAACTTTCCCTTCGCTTGCTTGCTAGATGTTCTTTCACGCGTATGCCTAATGCCCTCCCAGTTTCACCAATATATAATCGCCACACGTTAAACACTCGATTTGGTAAACGACAGCCCGTTGTGTACAGTCACCGAGTTTCCCATACGGGACAGATCACGCAGTTCTCCGTGGTGCATATTCGGTCGTAAAGGCGATTTCTTACCAGTTGGCGTTTGATATTTTCTCTTGGTGTGTTTATCAAAAGAACATCGTTGGCCAAAATCGGCACTTCGGAGGCACTGCTGTATAACTGCGGTGAAGCGGTCCGATATGAACGGTAGCTGAAGATACAGCTTGTCTTCAGCTCTATGTCAGAAAGGTCTCGCTGTGTTTCGCGTACGCCGATGCTGCGCAAGCTGTGTATCCTTTGAGACTAGCTATCTCAGTTGCTAGTCTCCTGGATTCTTCTCGCTCCTCGCTGGCCGGTGCACACTCCCACTGCAAGTTTTGTACATGTTTCGTACAACTGCACGTTTAACCGCCTCGGGTGAGCCGACATTGCGTGAGTGATGATGTTCTTGGAGCTCTCCTTCCTATACCATTTTACATTGGAGTGTCCATTACCTTTATCTGAGTGTTTAAGTACGGTAACCAGCCCTCGCGTGAACTTCTCGGTTAACTTAATGTACTGGCGATTGGCTGTCGAGGATATTAAATAACTCGTCCATTTCGGACTGAGTAGAGGTGATAACGAAAACAGTCATCGATGTAAACGGTAGCACAAAATGGGTGAACGTGCCAGCACAGGACGTTCGATTCTGCTCATGAAGCAGACAGCGAGGACCGGTGCCAGCCGCTGCCCCATCGCAAGTCCTCTAACCTGCGAGAAGTATCTTCCTGACCACTTGAATACGTTGCAGCTCAGGCACTCCTGATGAGAACCATTATCTGTGTTTTGCTCAATCCAAACGTTTACCATTCTTCCTTCCTGCATGCTCGTCAAGCATCTCTGCGACCGCTTGCAGAGCTTCGTTATTGCTAGCGTTGGTATAGAGCGCAGCCACGTCAAATGATTCTACAATACAGTCGGGCTGAAGCCTGCAGTAAGTGATCAAGGAACTGGCGTGTGTTCGACAAATGCGATGGTATATGTACAAGGAGTTGACCGACAATTTTGTTTAAAAACCATGATATGCGATCGGTCGGTCCGTTTACACAGCTTATTATTGGTCTTATTTTGAAGACTTCCGGCAGGAGCGAGCGTACGTTTTCAGCGGACAACTTGTGAGTCTTCACAAGACTGTAGAACACCGGGCAGGTAGGGTTCTCCAGCTTGCCGACTTACCGTACTAAAACACTCAGATAAAGGTAACCAATGGACACTACAATGTAAAATGGTATAGAAAGGAGAGCTCCAAGAACATCATCATTCACGCAATGTCGGCTCACCCGACCCGAGGGCGGTTAAACGTGCAGTTGTACGAAACATGTACAAAACTGCAGTGGGAGTGTGCACCGGCAGCGAGGAGCGAGAAGAATCCAGGAGACTAGCAACTGAGATAGCTAGTCTCAACGGATACACAGCTTGGCAGCAACGGCGTACGCGAAACACAGCGAGACCTTTCTGACATAGAGCTGAAGACAAGCTGTATCTTCAGCTACCGTTCATATCGGACCGCTTCACCGCAGTTATACAGCAGTGCCTCCGAAGAGCCGATTTGGCCAACGATGTTCTTTTGGTAAACACACCAAGAGAAAATATCAAACGCCAACTGGTAAGAAATCGCCTTTACGACCGAATATGCACCACGGAGAACTGCGTGATCTGTCGGTATGGGAAACTCGGTGACTGTACACAACGGGCTGTCGTTTACCAAATCGAGTGTTTAACGTGTGGCGCATTATATATTGGTGAAACTGGGAGGGCATTAGACGTACGTGTGAAAGAACACCTAGCAAGCAAGCGAAGGGAAAGTTTGATTGCACCGCTCGGCAGGCATAGAAGAGAGCTCCATGATGGCTGTGATTTTAGCGTCAAGTGCATAATATTGGCCTACGAAAACGATGTTGGTGCCCGGAAAACCCTTGAGGCGTTCTGGATTAAGCACCGTAATCTACGTATGAATAACAGGAATGAGTGCATCTCAATAACGGCCGATTTCTTGCCCTATATTCCACTGTGTGAGCTCTAACAGTGAGAACACGTGCATGCTACCATTCTGTAGCAGTGCTCGGTCGTTCTCACTTGCTCTATTGTGTTGAAATCGAGCAGTTCGTTGGTGCTGGTGGGAGTGGAAAGGTAACCTGAAGTTTTGAGTTTCCTTTCGTTAGTAGCTTCTTGGTCGGTTGCAACTAGACAAGAACGGGTTCAGGTTGAACAGGATCGATAGCTTTCCTGAGTTTCGATATGCTTTCAGGCCTTTGATAACGACGATACTGTCGAAACGTCAGGCAAAATAAACACTTCCACCATAAAAACCTGTACGGCATAGTAAAGAAACATTAAGTTCACGTAATTATTTTTTGGCCGTTATTTTTACATTTTTTCTCTTCTACAGGTTTTGCCTACATTTCACATGTGAACTAGCTTTCTTGCTCTTTTTGAAGTTGACTGGAACAGGACAGAGAAGATGTAGACTTTACTGACAGAAAAGTTTTACAAATAGTTGTTGTTCCTGTTGTAAAAACCAATACTGCCTCATCTGCCTTCGAAAAATGCACAAAAGATGTTCTTAATATCAATTCTGTATTGTGTACTTTATTATTTGTAGGTAACTGTCTGTGAAAAAAAGGGAAAAATCATAAAAAAAACAGGCAAAGAAAAAGCGTGCACTCCTGTGAGTACATCGTTGGCCTTAAGAGAAAGGTTTTCGCGTGTTTTTTTTTGGGAGTACACGCCTCTTCTGATGTGTGGATATTATTTATCTATTGTTGGCTTTATTATCTGTATATAATCGAAAACGAAAATACATAGCAAAATCGAGGGAAGAGGCGCGCGTACTCCTGGGAATACACGATTCACCCGGAGAGAAAAGTTTTTAAGTGTTTCTACGGGTGTACACACCTCTAACAAGTGAATATTGCTTCTCGATTGTTTGTTCGATTATATGTATCCAATTCTCAGTAAAAAAGGAAAAGAAAATATAAAAAACGGAATAGGCGCGTGTACGCTCGGGAGTACAGCCGCCGCGAACGTGTTAAGAACAACTTGGGGAGGTCGTTCAATGTGGGTTTGGGTAGGGTACAGAGGGGGACAAGATGTAAAGGACACACATGAACTGTGCGGAGCCCCGCCTACAGTGGGCATGCGCTGAAACTTGCGGTACCGCAGACAAAAATTCATACCTTGCTCTCAGAGCAGCCCAGAAATGAGGAAAAAGTGGAATGAGCTCAGCGGGTTGATAGACTAATTGATGGAGACACACTGGGAGTGGGAGGAGCGTACTCCAGATGGGCGGTGCTACTCAAACAATTCAGCATTTCGGTTCCCGAGGGAGTTAAGAAATAGCACAAAAGTTGATGCAGAAGGGCAACAATAGGCGATGGTTGGGCATTCATGAGGTGTGATGAGACCCACCCACAACGGGCGGAACGTACCCTTACTAGTGTGCTTATTTCAAAAATCCGCAGCTCGATCCCAGAGCGCTCCAGAGACGGGAAAAAAGTGAAGCAAAGTTCAAGGGTCGCCGCTCGGAAAGTGTGGGGCACACATGGCGTGAGCGGTGTCTGCTCTCATATGGTGGGAGGCAGACAAAAAAGTGTAAAGCGATTCCAGAGCACTGCAGAGACCGGAAAAAAAGTGGATTAAGGTCAGCGAAGGGTGGCCAATCGGGAAAGTTGGGGGACACCTATCGTGGTCTGCTCTGATGTGGGCGGAGCCACACAAAGAAAACGCGGTGTCAGAGCACTGCAGAGGTCGCAAAAAAGCGGGTTAATGTGGTCACCATTCGGAAATGTGGGACGTAGTTTTTGTGGGTGGGGTCTGCTTCGGTGTGGACGGAGCCAGACATGTCTGTAAATCGGTTCTAGAGCGCTCCAGACTCCGGAAAAAAAGAATTAAGGTTAGCCAAGGGCCTGTTGAGAAGAGTGGGGCGCACATGTCGTGAGCGGGGTCTGCTCCAATGTAGTCAGAGCCAGACAAAAAGTCTGTATATCGGCCGGTGAGCCGACTGGTTTGAAATAACTGTCATTTTGTGTTCTGCTTTACGAAGGCATGGTAGCAAGAGCTCGAGAACCACAGCCTTCTACCTAACCTGCTGCTGCCACGTGAAGTACGTGTCGATGCCCTCCCCATCTCCGGGCTGGAGTTCTTATCGGGAGAGAATTCCTATCGAGCAATGGGATATCCCGTCCAGAGCAGGAGCGAAAATACTCCCATTAGGACACATCGTCGCTGGGGATTACCCGTTAGGGAGGGTATAATGACATGAGCCAGATCGAACAGAACAATTAAACAAGTCCGTGAGAAGCCATGAACCTTTCTGAATTCTATGAACGTACGGCTCACGCGGAGAGGATCTGGAAACTTCGGGAACCGCTCTGCCTTTGAGGACTTTTTTAGAGGAAGCTCTTCAAAAAAAACTCTGCTCTACTTGAGGGGCAGTTGCGCGCCAGCGCAATAAAGAGCGGAGGCGCGCTTTTTCAGTATTTAATAAATATCTAATTTATTTAGCAGGGAGAAGGGGCTCGTACGCACTGCAGCAAAATTCCCAACGCATGATGCGCCCTGGTCCCATCCTTTTCATCACAATTGGTTGAGAACGCAACCCATTCCACGCCTAACACCACCCCCCCCCCCGGATTGCAACGAACTATAACTATACGTTTGCTCGTCAACTAACAAGGCAAAGAAGCTAATAATACCCGGAAACATTGGAAAAAAAATCGGAAAAGCAAGAAATTTTTTCTTTAGTGGAGCATTTGACGCACTTCACCGACATGCTTGGAGCTTCCCATTCGAGAAACTATTCTCTGTGGAAGATTGGCGGCATTTCTACCGATGGAATGAAAGAAATTGCTGAATGGGGAAACACCTTCAAAGCGGAAGCGGAAGCTAAAGAAAAGGTAACAAGCTGAAGCTGTACGAACAGCCTTGATAATGGCGGTTTTTAGGCTGCTGAAGTACGAACTCTCATGAAAGTAAAAGGATTGTGGTATCCTGAAGTTCAGGGCCGTACCAAGTCAAGCTTTGTTGTAAACAAGTAACCTTCGAATCTTGTGGCGTTAGTAATTCTTCGCTGTTTAATGTCATTTTCAGATACCACCATTTGGCCTCGTTGGCAACCATGTTCGGTCCATCACCTGATTGGTGTGTAGGTATTTCTTCAATCAACCTCTGCCTTCCCGACTGTTCATGGGTGGCTGAAAGGACATTTGATTTGCTACCTTTCGACGCTGGAACGGACTCTGGTCCTACATATATGGTAAATTCGTATTCTATCGCTTAATTGAACCTTCAGTTAAAGTTGCCTCGAGATCTACTCGAAATTGTCTGCAGTGTCTTCATGATGACTCATGAACTTGTTTCTATTACCGTGCAAGTCAAGCTGGTTTGAAACACTTAGAATTGCTTCGCTTTTGCTGAACGTTGGTGGGGATGTAAAAAAAAGAATAAAAAGAAATTCCGCAAAATGGGCTATTTCGACCATCTTTTCCAGCTCCGGGGGACAGGAGGTGGTGTAGTGACAAGTGGCGCGCTCACCACTCGCGCGGTCCTGGGTTGAAATTCCGGGTCGACTTCCCGCCTGGGCCAACCAAGCCTTCTATCCTCCCGGGACGGTAAATTGGTACCAGATTCGTCTGGGAGGATAAAATACTGACTTGAACATCGGCTGGCCCCGCAAGTCATTGCATAGGCCACGTCGCATTCAATAAGCCGCTACGATTCTGAATGGAAGTAGAATGCGTGCCGCATCCCACGGAGGGATTGATCAACATCGAAGGCTTTATCCTTTATCCTTTATTCAGCTCTGATCCAACTGTAGCTTGAGCGGGTATAGTTTATGAGGTGTTCTTTCTCTGAACATAAAAAACAACAAAATTGGATTTAAAAACTAAGACCCTCATCCGGCATGTAGCGAGGTACATCGAAGTTTCTTTTGTGATTTCTGCAGCATCCCTCCCTGCACGGAGGTTGTGAGGGGAACTTAGCGCTATGATAGCCTTCATGGATTCTACATTCTCATGTTCGGCACTTCTTTAGTAAACACCATGTTACCTCTAGAACATCTAAACGAGTCTTCTGAATTTTCCTCCTTGTCTTCTTCCTAAACTTTTAACAGAGGCCTCGTTACCTCCTGCCATAGTAGAGGTGACATCTTTCTCTACAACTTTTGGGTGTGAATGGCCGTGCATGTGGATTTCCTTTTTTGAATTTCTGTATCTGCTAATTATGCACCTGTACTAGTAAGGGGAAAGTTTCAGGTAACAAAGTGGGATAAAAGCCTCTAGTGGCTACTGATAGCCTTCAGTGGATATGCTTAGCCATCATAACCTAACAAGCTCTAAAACATTTTGCACTGAAACTCAGTAACAGTGGTAATTTGATGGCTCCGATTACTATTCTGGCCTTGTCCTGGCGCCGAGGCCATTTGGGATCAGCTTGGCGCAAACAGCCCCTGCGCACAGGTTGACAATGATATCAATGCTGGAGAGCCCTCACACCATTTGACGACAACTCGAGCCATATCCAAAAGCGACGGCCGTGTCAATGACGAGGGCATCGAGTATCGCCGTTACCTAAGTTTCAGGGAGAATTTCTCTAACATTATTTCGACTGCGCAGTAGTTGAATAGAGCTCCTTGGTAAGCCAGTAGAGTATGGAATGACGCCTTAAACAACATCTGGGTTATATATATTAATAGGCACACAGGAATAAATGAAGTCGGGAATCTGAAGAATGTAGAATTTTGTACTGAAGGGAATCCAATCCACAAATAGTCCCTCCGTTTGTGAGTTCATCGCGCTATCCACAATATCATCCGTTGCAAAAGGGATTGTGTACCTCTCGTCGGCGCTCTTTGGCGACGGGGGGGGGGCATTTTGCACTTTAATGACTTCCCATCGACCATTCGTCCCATCAGTTGACAGGTTTTAGCATGATGGCTTGACGAGCTTGCTCCAGCTTCACAAGAGCTCAGGCTTTCACCAGACCGAGACTCGTAAACCAGAAGTAGTGAGGTAACGAAGGTGCAAGTTGTCCTGACAGACAGTGGAGATGGCACTTAAAGCTATTGCGGAGCGTCACGTGGTCAATTTTGTACCCAAGGAAATCCATTCTACAAATTACTGATATTTGTCCACTGATATTTGTAATCCACTGATATTTGTCCGTTATTAGACGTTGTGATCTTGGTTCTTCATGTGGGATGCGTTAACGTTGCCGGTACGATCCCTCCCGAGGCAGGGTCATCCACTTTTAGCAAACCGTCGAATCTAAAACGCATGCCTTAGTTTGCTATCGTACATGGCACGGACCCATTTTGGTCGCCCTTTAACAGACAGCAAGTAACCCTCTTTATGCAACTGTAGCTTTCTTAGAAGCGTGGCCTTCGAACTTTGCTTAGTTGTACTAGACCATCCCTAAACGTACTTGAGCTCTAGCAACATTTTTGGTGGGTTTATGATGTGCCAATGGCAAAGACATGAATTTTATGCTTCAAATAGTCACAACTTCTTCAGCATGCAATTGTTTGTGCAGCCAACAACATTGGAAGGTGGAGTATCATCCTTCCCAGGACGTGCTACGCATTTCCATAGACCGGCTGGATGAACAGTTCACTACAGCAATTGAGCTACTGTATGGGCATCATACATTCGACTTCCTTGCTGAGGATGGTAAAACGCAACTTTCAGATGAGGCTTTCCCGTTCAAGCCTCATATGGCCCAATGATTCAGAAAGATGCATGAGTGCCTTTGCTCGTTTGCTCGTTCTTTAGTGAAGACTGCCGTTATGGGATTCTCCCAGTGATGCGGTACATATTCCCTCCCATCAAACTCAAAAGTTTTACAATGCATATCTGCAAAGTTGGGATTCATTCGAACCAACTCTGAGCCTTCCCAGCAGAAAGCGAATGAATATTTCTAAAACCTTTTTAATTCAGCTTTCTACGAAATTTCCTCAAAAAACTCTTCAGCCTTCCCCATTCAGTAACCTGAAACCAAAGCGCCTGCTCGTCAGTGGAAATTTATTTGTTCAATTTCGTTTCTTAGCTGCGATTAACAAATTTATCAATAGGCTTATTTATTTAACATGGAACTTTCCCACGTACTGTGCCTTGTTTAATTACCGCTAACAGAACAGGAAACCTCATCAGCATCCTGAAAGCTCTTACCGTGACGTCCACTTGGGAAAACAGCCATCGAGTAAGATAATGGAAAGCCTGACTGCAGATTCTTATGCCTCTGTGTAGGGGTACCATTGGGAAAATTGTGTGGGATCTTTTCGAGCTTTGATTGCTGACATGTAGCGGTATCATGTTTATTTGGCGCTGAGAAAGGTGTAGATCACTTCCTTCCAAGGGGGTTAATACAAGCGGAGTGGCGGCACCACTTATGGCCGAAAGCCACGGCGGGACATAACTGAAAAAAATTTGGAATATGTCAAGCATGAGCATTAACACACAAGTTAGTTTCATAAGAAAGCCTACCAGCAGAAGGATGATTGAGGAGAACAAAGGCGCAAGTTTCATTGCTTCTCAGTGAGCTTCGGGAGAAAAGGTTTTTTAGCTGAAAGCGCGATGAACGGAAGGTATCATGAACATATTGGGTGAATTCGTTAGCATTCAACAGCATAACGTAAACGATTCTTTGTCCAATAGATGAAATGACTTGAATGTTATCCTTTTATGATTAAAGCTTTTCCATTGCAAATTTCTTCGATTACTTTTTTCGAATAACTTGAAGACAGTGACTAGGGCTGCCTTGGCCATAGCTTGAATTAAAAGTGGGGTAGGAGTGAGACATTCTGATGCTTGAGTACAAAAGAATCCAAAAAAGGTCGGGAGTTCCCGGCATGGTCCTCACTCCCTCTATGGAAGGTGAATGAGTTTTGCGAGAGTTGCTTCGCGGATCTGTTGGATAGACGCAGCGTTAACACCTTTCTATGCTTCTTTACCATAAGATCTAAAGGGTCAGCAGGCAAAGGGTAGCTTGCGTTAACTAGCAGGCATAGCAATGGACTGGAAGGTTCATTTGGCCGGCCTATAAGTGACGGCGTTTTTCTCATCCAAAGCTCCGTATTGAAAATGGAAAGTTCCAATAGTTAATTCTACAGTGTGCGGTTGAGAATTTCAACGCTGAACAATGTGCTTGATTCCACTAAAGAACCTCTTTATTTGAGTTTCCGAGTGCTCAAAATGAAGTGCCAAGTCGGCGAAACAGCGCTTTCTGGGACCTTTCCATTTCCCAATATAACTGAATGCTGTGAAAATTGACTCAAACCGCAGAGTTCAACTGTTGCGTGTACGCCCGAGGAGGGATGTTCTTGGGGAAGCACAAAATGGTCCAACAGGCAAACACCGCACAGAATGCCATCTTGAATCTTAGCGCCGACCGGAATCTTAGCGAATCAGCTTGTTTAAGGAGATCATTGCCAAAGAATGGGCAATCTGTAGACGTCATGAAATGCTCCTGAATTCACTGAGGATCATTCTTATTTAAAGACAGCTCCCGCGATAAAAGTCTCATGGACAGCTGCTTTCCAGTTATGAAACCGTAGCTGATAAGTAATCCCCAAAAGAAGAACAACACGCGCAAGTAAGCTCCTCCAAAACAACATAAACAAAATCGCTCCCTCACAGTCACACCTCCTGCGGTCTCTGTGCAACCCCTAGCTCACGAATCTCTCTATCAAATCTCGCAGTAGTTGATATCATCCAGTGCAAAAAAAGAATACAAAAAGAAAACAACAAAAAGCAGAGGAAAAACTCTTGGAAGGAAAAAGGAATTTTATCAATGCGGTGTCTGAATTTTGGGATTACGGTTGCGCACGTTTTGTGCGTCAAGGTTTTGCATCACAAGATTGCGTCACTCGTGCTTTTTACGCGTTTCACCTCGCGAAATGATTTGAATTGAATGTATATACCTCCAATGAGTAAACTGTAATGAAGGGGAGCAGAATTATCCATGGGCGTTAGCAATGCTCGCCGCCCAACTAAGAACAACTGAGTGGCCTCCGTCGGAGGACATCTAGCAAGTAAGGGCGGTCCAACTGAGCAGGCGAGAACTAGAACTTACAGGCGGCTGTAGCTCGCTTCTCGCTCGCTGTGCAGACGAATAGAGTGGGACAGTCTCTAGCTTGGGGCTGTACTACTTGCACAAGGAAGGACGACCATGTTCTACTCGAGCGCGCGAGTTGTCTTTAAGGCTCAAAAACTTGGTGTGTGTATTCTGCAGGCAGCAGGCAGTCTTTTCAATGCAGTGAGCATCTACAAGGTTCAGCATTCT